CCATATGAAATTATCGGACTCAATGTCTAAATAAGGTATAGAACTTGTCCCCTCTCCCTTCTTGGTTAATTCAAACTATTCTGAATTATTCTTATCACTACAAATGAACCTCCAAGTACTTGTATACTTGAAGATTTCAAATAAGGAAAGTTAACTTCTATGAAAATCCAATTCTGTATTTTTGCCCTATTGTTGCTTATACCACAATATAATAAACACAGCAACTCACCTGAAAAAATTGCTGAGGATCCAGGAACTCCCATAATTCAAGTTACCTAATTCTTCTTTCTCAGACTATGTAATCTAATTCTGTTGCCATGGCCAAGACATTTTATGTTTGTGATATTATACTAAGAGAACACATCCTGAAATTTCTAAAACTTATAAAAATCTTCTAATGTGGTATGATTTTCTGTGGACATGGACTCTCTCAATTGTCTGAAGTCCTGGGTTTGCAATCATATTAAAGATTTCCAAGATATAAAATTGTGTTCTACGTTTCTTGTAGGTTATGAGGCATCAAAAAAAATGAAAGCTTTGTTCTGAGAAGCAGTGAAGTAAGGGTTAAGCACTTTCACCACCAAGTAATAAGCGGCATGGTTGGACCCCAGTATTCCATAATAAAAAAAGTGACACAATAAAAATTTAATCTCAGAGAATTGCTGGGAGGGGCTGAAGATAGAATTCCAGTGTTGCTCATTTCTTCATGCACTTGAAGGCTTTCAAGTATTACCACCAGGACGTTTCATTCATGGCACAAGGCTTTCATGGGATGCTTTCTCCTGGCACACTTAAGATGGAGAAGGAAGGAGACAAGTTTGGATACATTCATTTCTTCCTCTATTTTGGTGACCTTTTAAAGCTTTCAACAAAGAATATATCCTTTAGAAATGTGAAAAGAACCGTGTTCTTCTTTTTTTCTTGTCTTTAAATATATGAGAAAGACAAAATCTATGAGAAAAACAAAATGAACAAAACTGGCATATTTTATGAAAGATTTATATACAGTATTCATTCTGCTGACATAAGGGCAAGTGTAGAATTATAAACTTTTTTTAATCATAAACAAAATTAGATTTTCAGGATATGTTCATAACTTCAATTCCCACAAATAAAAATTTGTTCATGGAAAAATAGAGATATTTTGAATACTAAAGTCCTTTATTCAACATCACAGAAATTTCACAAAAACAACTTTACTGGGCAAATTGAATGTGTTTTTTTTTTTAGGGTTTTTTTTTTTTTACAGTTTTGTACATGCCCCATAAGTAATTTTCTTTAATAAATACACTGTTTTCCAAAACTGCTTTTTTATAATTGCACAAGCATACATACACCTTTACACAAATATCTATTAGAAAATTTAATAGATGACTGCACAGTTCAGAATAGGAGAACGTTGTGAAAGGAGTACATTTCGTGGCCCATGTTCCTGAACTATCTGACTTCCTTGTCATTGTGAAAATGGAATCCCTCCTCACATAGTAGCTGTCTTTTATTCACTAGGAATACAGATCTCAGTGTGAAACTGCCAAATTTAATAAAAACAAAATCTGAAACATTTAGCTGTTACATGAGAACCAACTGTTTGATATCACTGTGAATCTAACCATGATCAAAGACCCACTACAGCTTTTTGCTGAACGTGTTTGACCCTGAATAGTGTGCTCATTTAACTGCTTTCCTTTTTTTCATTATTTGATTACAGATACTATCGGCTTAAAGACTTTATATGCTTTAGCATTAATTGTACAACTTACATGCCAGGGGTTCTAAATGAAAGGAAGGGAATATTCCTTTCTGTTAGTGACTGCTTAATACTAATTCATGGGAAGCCCACCATCTCTTGCTCCCTATAAATGTGTTTAGAAGTAGGAAGTTGGGTGTTGGGGAATCAAGCAACCAGGAGATGTTTTTGTATACTCTTACACTGGAGAAAGATTTTACTGTTTTCTTTCCTAAGGATGGATACTTTTCTTGTTTGTAAATATGCCTCCTCTTGTACACAGGCAGGCAAAATCCATCAGAAAGCCACTTTGGTCTGAAGGCCTGGAAAGAGGGAGGTTTGCATTATGAGGGTCTTGTAATGTTTAGGGTGCTGAGTGACAGCTGACAAGGAAATTGGTTCACTGCACTTCGTACTAACACCCCTCGTATTTTCCAGCTCTCCCCAGCTGCTGACAGAATGTGGCATCTCCTTGTCTACACCTAGAGAAGGTAAGAATCCTGTGTATGTTGACCTCCCTTACAAAGCTTTTAATGTGGCTTCTCTGATATGTAATTTTTAAGTTGTATAGTCCGCCACCATCTATATTCTGATTGTTATCTTCTGATTTTTCTTGGTACTGAATGTGATACGTACAGCGAACAATTTTCAAAAGTTACATTGCATTGGTATTTTAGAATCATGAAAAATGTAAACCTTTAAATCACTCCCTCGAGGTTATAATGATATGCTTTACAAGTTCTCAGTATACGGACTTACGGAGAAGAGAACCAAAGGGAGACTGGAAGAGTAACATCTTTCTTCAACATCACCAACGAGAACTTTATATGTACCCTACATTATATAAAGAGTTTTACCAAAAACATAAAAATTGGGTGGTGTAAAAGAACAATGTCAAGAACAAAAACATATAAAAGAATTAAAGAAAAGCTGTACTTTTCCATTTCAATAATCAACAGATTTTCTTTCATTAAAAAAATTTGAATTGACATGTAAAACACCACATTTTACAATATACAGGTTCATTAGTTCTTTAAGAAAACAAACAAAAACACATCAAGACACGCAATACTAGCATGTATTTTAGACTCTCAGTACATTGTCGTGAGATCTTTACATGTTACTGTATGCCTAATGCAGCTTGAATTGACGTTTGCTTCAATTCTGTAGTAACAATCATCATTTTCCAAAAAGCAAGGCAAACTTACCATTCAAGTGTGAAAGTAAGTTTTCGCTTACTTGTAATTAATTAGCACACTGGCTTAAAAAATAAGTCAAATCAAATCAAAGTGGACAAGAAAGAACTCATATAGTTCTCATTGGTCCCACAGCAGAAACAGAAATTCTAACTAGAAACCCTCAAAGGAATTATACATCAAGCAGAAAGCTATCTCAGAATTAACATACAGCACATTTTAGCTTGCGATTATTTAATGATCTTCTTGAAACATGGATAGGTGTAATATAGAATCAGTTTTCCTTAAAAAGCCCATTTGACTGTAACTGGAGGCCTTGTGTTCCCACTCTAGCCAGGTTCAGTCACTTGCTTTTCACATTGGAGTTTGCAGGTACCTTCTCCACCCTCCCACCCGGACTCATGATGAAGTGCTCCTTCCGTGTTTTTTAAAATCTCCTGTCATATTATTTCCCATTCACAACTACAACTAGCCTTTTAAAATTATTAATCTGCTAGTCTTTCTAAAACTTTACAGCCCTTTTCATCACCCTTTCTCAAGTTATTTTTCTTTGCATAATCCATCTTGCTAACATTTTTCAGCAGACTAGTGGATGTCACAGGCTAAAAGAGCTGGCTAGTGGATAAAAAACAAAAGTTACAGTAACATGGCAACTTCGATACTCCATGTATTTTTGCTAAACTCTATTTTATTCCTGAAGATGAAAACTGTCTTTATGATCTGGCAAGAAAAAGAAAATGATATAAACTTCCTAGGTATCATGTTATCACAAATAATATCTGTCCTATTGGGACAGCCTTAGGAACCTTGACTGCCATAAGAAAACCAAATCCTACATGAAAATATAGCACAGATCCTATGAAGCATTAGCTCCTTTGTGTTTGGGGCTGTTTGCACTTATGGAATTCCACAGAATGTGGCCCTGCCTTCTCAGGAATGAAAGCATCAAGTGACAAAAATGGGAATGGGAGCAATGGAACATTCCACTGAGGGCCTAGGGGAAGGCCACTGGTCCAACTGGGAGGCTATGAGAAAGGAAGTGAAAAAGAGATTTAAAAGCCTCACCTTTATGAATGTGTTTAATTCTTTTTAACTTAAAAATATATCTAGTCATGCCTCAATGCGGGAGGTCTTTATGTATTCAAATTTTAAAACAAACTACCCATTTCATAACATACATTGAATTAAAACATTTGGGTACATTTTATTAAGTGTTTTTTTTTCCTACCAAAAAAAAAAAGCAAAATATAAACAAACAAAAAATACATATACCCCATGTTGAGCTGAGAAAAAAAAAGTCAATCATGAATTTCTCCCCCTAAGATATGATACTTTTCTCTGTATCCTAGAAAACACTGTTTTTTTTTTTAATTTATACAACTGATTCTGCATGTTCCCAACTACTCTGAGTACTCCGCCTTACAGTGCAACCCAAGACAAGTCAACTACACTAAGTATTTGGGAGGTATACCCTTCTGTACAGCTTGTTTGTAAGCAATGCAAGTGCATAACCACTACTCTAATATAGTGCTCAAAAGATTAATTGAAACTTTCATAACATCTTCCCCTCTTATAACAATACAACTGAAGGTAATTGCTGGATGCATCATAATCTTTTAGTCTTGTAAAACTTGGCATCAAGTCTCTACGGAAAGATGCATGGCAAAACATGCCCCTGCTGTTGCTGCTTCTAGAAACAACTGGCAAAAAATATTTAAAGCTAAAATTTATTGCTCCAGATTTAACTCGCAGAACCATACTGTTGTGTACAAACTGTTAATCTCCATAGATGCTCAGACATGATTGTCTCCTTGTGTCTAAACACACAAAATACAAGCTGCTATCTGTACAGTTTACAGTACTGAAACACATATATTTGAAAATGAAGTATAGATATGTACTTTGTAAAGATACATGATTTTACAGCAGGGGTTTACCCAAACTTATTTTTTACAGCCACTTTCAAAATAGACAACAACTTCACTAGTATAGCTAAATTACATCAAAGAAAGAATCAGTGTATTGAAAGTAAATAGACTGGCCAATTCCCCAAGCTCCCGGATTATTTTTATATGTCTTTTTTCTTTTCTTTTCCTTTTTTTTTTTTTTGGAAGAAACCCCTATACATAAAATGAAAATAATATCTGGATATTTTCTTCAGTGGTGGACTAAGCAGTTTCTTAAAACAAGACATTAGTTTGCCCTTCACTTCCAAATGCCTTGAAAATAAGATACACTACTGCTTTAAAAGAACCATCGGAATGCTTCAGCGCTGGGAACAGGTGTTCTCTATAAAAAAAGAGCAAGAAAACAAGTTAAGCTTTCTTTCTATGCCAATATAAAATTAGATTTTTCTCCTTTACACTTCAGCAATATTTTTAGTCAGCAATACACAACATAATGACTTGTATATTTCAACATTTAATAAAAAAAAGAAATGTTCAGTCTTAGAACATTACAAAAATTAGGATGTTGGCTTTAACGCTAATTTACTGAATATAATGATTAAAACACATTAGTCTAAAAAATACAGGGAACAAAGCCTAGAACATGGATAACCATCAGAATAAAGGGGGAGGTTCAAACTATTAGCCAGTAGTAGCAAGTCCAGCCAGAAAATCTGTATCTGCTGCATACATATGCATCCTATATAAGGTGGATATTTAGAGAATTCAGAGAGGTAATTTCTTTATTCTGGGGAATTTCATTTATGACAGGACAACAAATATTACATTGATATTAATTCTATCATTTAACAACTCCTAATGCTAAACATTCCTACAAATAATCTAATGAGAACTATACTGACAATATATGCTACTATTTGAAAGTCTGCATTTTCAACAAATTAATGTCATATGTATGAAACAAACTTATACTAGCCAATTATACTCAGTGGAGCATAACTATCTTTTTGCGCCATAAAAAGACTGTAGTTTTCTAAAGGAGTAGTAAGTTAGCACCAGAAGTATGAGCAACCATTTTAACTAAATGCTTAGTTACGGTGGGGTTTTTTTGTTTTGTTTTGTTTTGTTTTTGGTGGTTGTTTTTTGGTCAGAAAAATGGTAAAGTATTGAATATTATACTACACTTGTATTCTTTAAAAAAGAGACTCACATGAGAACATATTGAAGGTACATAAAAAACAATAAGCTAAATTTTCCTATAGGGGCAAATGAAAGAGGGTTGATTTTATTTCCTTAGACCAGCCCAACAATCCTGTGTAGAATAAAGATGTCTGCCAAGAATAAGTAAGTAAGTTGGTATATTGAATGTTACTAAATTACTGGGTAGGTAGAGAGCACGAACACACACACATACCTCTTATAAACACATCTTAAGACAGTGTTATAGCACTTGAATTTCATATTTCAGAAAATACATGAAAAATTCTACTCTAAGTACTCTTTAATGATTGAAGTTAGCTTTATTTACTTTCTCACATTTGACTTATTTGGTTCACACAGTCCTACTGTAACAATGTCATCTAAAAATAAAAGTGTATTAGTTGGTTAAAAATGTCCATGAAATTTAAATGGAAAAAAATAACCATTTTGGAAAGCAAAGCTACTTTTCATTATTTGCACTAAAAAGAATTTTTAAAAACTTGTCCTCGCAGTCAACAAATTTCAAAAGAATGTGTAAGAACAAACTAATGATTTTTTTTGAAGTAAAATCTACTCCCAGTGTAAGTCTCAAACTCATGACCCCGAGATGAAGAGTTTCATGCTCTCCCAACTGAGGCAGCCAGGCACCTGAAACCAATGATTCTAATGCAAGTTTGTATAATGTATATACAAAAATATTTAACTTGTGAAGTATTCTCTAAAAATGCAAACAAGAAAGTCCATTATTCCTGCATAAATAGTACTTATTAATATTTTACTCTTTACTCCTCATGGTACAATGTTTTCTTCTCTCCAGCTCACTATGAATACCTGAAGTCCCATCATTTGATTTGGTTGATGAGAAAAACCCCTTTAGCATTCTCCAAAATTAACTTTTGAATGATAAATGTAATTGTATATGCTCATTACATTTATTTAGTCATTATTAAAGGAAGTATATGAAGTAATAAACAACATATTCATTCTAATATTCATGCTTTACACACACACACACACACACACACACACAAGCAGTAAATGAAAACTTAGACGTTTATACCAGATGCTAAGCTTGCTGCCTGATGCCAACTAAGAATAAATTTTATATAAGTATGCATACTTATATAAATGTAGTCATTTTTAACAAGATAAGTTAGATCCAAACATATCCATGCAATTACAGATTCACATATGAAAAATAAACATGTGCATATATATTCATATATATTCACATTTACATGTATAGAATATGACATAGAGATGCCAATTTACTTTCAGATGCCAACTGGAAACAAGACTGTAAGTATATACTTAGATAATCTTGTATCTTGATAAACATATATGTTTATGAAGATAAACAGAAAAATGTATGGAGTACATTTTTTAAATGAGGTGAACTCCTTATGTCTTGGATACATTTTGAAATCTCTTTTCCAACTCTTTGCTCTTCCTGTGCCCCTTTCCATTACTCAATTTTATTTGCAATATTTAGAAAAAGCAAGCTTCATAAAATACCATCTGAGAGCAAAGGTGACTGTTGTGAGGAGAAAGAAAAACACTTCTCAATGCTTGTTAGCACCAAAAATTAATTAGATAGTGCAAATATGAGAAAAGCAGAGAACTGGTTTTCTTTACTAATACAACCTGTGACAAAATATAGCACTGTGATGTGTGCGTATTATTATGCATACATTGAGGCCAGTATGTAGCTCCATATATAAAGATACAGTCTACCGCTGCAGGGGAAGGGTGAAGATAAGCAGGGAAGCATCTTTTAAAAAATATTTCTCCCTTATATCAAGATTTTTGAGGACATGAAGCCTAGAGATGACTTGTTGGGAAATCACCTAAAATGTGTGAGAAAACAGGAAAACCACTAGTGCATTAATTAGAACAAATTATCAAGGCATTCACCAGAAGCTTGAAGTCAGGTTTCTCTAAATTTTATTCCAGGGTTAAAAAAGTAACAAAACTCCTTAGTGTTCCATAGGCCACACAAAACAAAAGATGTATGCCCAACCTCCTGCCCAATTTTCACTGGGCTCAGTGGAAATTTACTTTACGCCTGGACTGAGTTCTTTTTGGTCAAGATGGGGAAAACAACATTGTTTGCGTTCACCCATAAAATACTGGTTAAATAATAGGTTTTTTTATTAAGTCTGTACTAATTTGAGGACATATCTTCTCTATCCCTGCCAACTAATGAGGTCATCTTTGTTAGAGGACTTTTATTTCAAATGGTGTGGGGGCTCAACACACCAACGTGGAGAATTAAGCACCCTGACCAGCTACCTTAGGGTTATATAAATTCAACAGTCCCAGCTGGGGAATCACACTCTTGATGAGATTACAGTGACTTTCTGGATCTCCATGATGCTTGCAGGAAATCATTATCCTGAGTGACAGGAAAGCCAGATTCCCCAGGAAGAGAAGGGGGCGGGGAGGTAAAGAATAGAATGGAGTTGATCAGCATTGTTGAAGGCAGCCTTCACTGCTCATGCAGGTGCAAACACTGACATACAGCAGCCTGCTCCCAGGAGACCTGTGGAGAAACCCCCGCAGCCCTCAGTTCTCCTTCCCGTATTGCTGTAAAGCATGGTTTTCCAGAGCATTCATTCCTACAAAAGCCAGAGCTATATAAGGAAGACCTTAAACTAATGAGCTTAAAAGCATGACTTCTGTTTCCCTCCTAAATAACTTTAAAAAGCAATGATATTTCCCTGTATAAGATATATAAGAATTTTGTATAAGGTATATAAGAATGATATAATCCAAGCCCAAGTACAGTTTACACATACTTTTTAAAAAATGAAGACAAAAGTTATCAATATGTCTCCAGCAGAGGTATATTTAATTTTTGTTAAATCAACAATGACGAAATAATTAAACAACCTAAAAGAAATAAAAATCCCCAAAGCTGCCACCTAAAGAATTTGGGTATTTTTCTTTTTTGGTGCCTGCCAAGCAGGTGGTATCTTCAGGTTGAGGATGCATCTACACACTCTTGTGTAAAATATGGCAAGTCGAATATAAATTCACCTTCTGAAGGCTGCAAAACGATATCTACATTTCCCTCTATATAAAGATAGGTGGGATTGGCTATTCATATTTAGATACATTATGTAAAGCGTGGCACTAAACAAAACTCATTTTAATAAAGCCAGACATGAACTTTCAAAGGGCAAATTAAAGACAACTCGATGCTGAAATCTTCTTCAGAAAGTATAAGGCTATGCAAATTGAGATAATAATGATGACATTAGAAAATTCTGTAACTAAAGTTAAATATATCTTTCCAATATTTCTTCATATACTTTCTAATCCAAAAGTCGTGGTGATTTCCCCTAGGCCTTCAGAGTTCTACTGTGAAACAGGATGCTTCTAATACAATGATTTCCAAGCTGCAGTCGGTACTTTGGGCTACCATTATTCTTAAGCTAATCAAAAATAATTTCCGGTTTTCCCCTTTACTATTAAAGAAACGGAAGTCATCCAATCATTTTCTGATTCTCATGTAATGATGTGAGGTATGCTTTTTCCAATCAAAAGCAAAGCAATATCAATCTGTAGTTAGCCAATACAGCTTCGTTCAAACTCTTCTGAAATAGTGTTTTCCTGTGAGGAGTCCCCTATAAGTTTCTTAGGCTCCAATCATCTAAGACCTTGAAATTGGAGCACCTCACAGCATTTGACCTCTTCACGCTAGAACTTGAAAACCTCAATGAACCACTGAAATTTCACAATAGAAAGTACGTGAGTATTAGAAAAGATAATAGTAGGTATTATTGTTTGCCTTTAGATAATTGATTATATTTTGTTTTGGCTTCACATGAAACTTTAAAAATTTGGAGTATTTTGCATGAACAACAACAACAAAAGATTCCTGATGGTGAAAAAAACTACTTGTTTTTTTTCCTGATTTGATTCACAAAGAATGCTAAAACATCAAGTTATATAGGTTCTCAATTTTTTTACTGACAAAACTTCAAAACCTACTTGGAGAAATGGAAAATTATATTATATATACAATATTGTGACTGTGAATACACACATTAAGACAAAGCTTTGGATGATTAATAATTATGATCTAAAATGATACCTAGGAAATGTTAGAGACACCCCAAAATGCTTTTAGCAGAAATATTTTCTATATCCTATTTATAATTAATATACTTTAGAAAC